GAATATTATGATCAGATGTGCAAAGAAAACTATTCCCGGAGGCAGGACTAAAACTATCGAGTGTTTTGGTCTAAACACCATGACGAACTGAAAAGAAAGCGGGACACCCTTCGTAACACTTCTGAAAACGCAAACTGGTCTAATGCAGAACGCCATAGAACTGAAGAAAGAATTACAAATCGATGACAGAGCAAAAAGCCTCTCTCTCCCCATGAACCCATTGGCAGACACGTAGTGTGTTGCAACATGAACCCATTAGCAGACACTGATGTAGTGTGTTGCGCCATGAACCCATTAGCAGACACTGATGTAGTGTGTTGCACCATGAACCTATTGACAGACACTGATGCAGTGTGTTGCACCCAACTGCTTGACCTTAGCAGACATTGATGTAGTGTGTCGCACCCAACTGCCTCCCGAGCAAATGCGCTCACTGGCCCTTGAGACAATCAATATGCTGAAAATGCATTCACTGGCCCTTGGGAAAATCGATGTCAACTATCCTGGAGATCAATGGTTCCAAGTCTTCACTGATGGGTCATACATAGAAAACCAGGCAAACATTGGTTCAGGTTTCTATTCTTAACTCTTCTCTTTCTACGCAGCAGCGGGACACAATAGATCCGCTGTTGAAGGATAAATAGAGGCCATTAGGATAACACTATCCCAATTATGTTGCCTGGATACGATATTCACCAAAGCGTGATATTTTTGGACCCATTGGCAGCAATAAACTCAATTGGAAACAAAGAGCCACCCAAAAGAGCTGAGATAAAGGAATGTAGAAAACTCTATCAGCTGCTGAGGGAGAAAAACAAAACAGTGGTCATACAATGGATTCCTGGTCACTGTGGCATTAAAGGCAATGAGTTTGCTGACACACTTGCTAAGAAGGGGACAACGATTTTGCAATGCATGGACCGGCCGATGTCTTTCCACACAATGAAGGCCTTAATCAGAAGAGAATTCCAGACCTCGAAATGCAACGAAATTAAGGCTCGAACAAAGGAGAAACAGTGGACAGTGGCACTCTCCGACATACCCGACTGGCCAAGAATCGAAGCCGTTGCTGAGTTTAGACTACGTACCGGACACGATTGCTTGGCAAAACATCTTTACAGATTGGGAGTATACACTCAACCCACATGTCCTCGGTGTAACCNAAAAACAAAACAGTGGTCATACAATGGATTCCTGGTCACTGTGGCATTAAAGGCAATGAGTTTGCTGACACACTTGCTAAGAAGGGGACAACGATTTTGCAATGCATGGACCGGCCGATGTCTTTCCACACAATGAAGGCCTTAATCAGAAGAGAATTCCAGACCTCGAAATGCAACGAAATTAAGGCTCGAACAAAGGAGAAACAGTGGACAGTGGCACTCTCCGACATACCCGACTGGCCAAGAATCGAAGCCGTTGCTGAGTTTAGACTACGTACCGGACACGATTGCTTGGCAAAACATCTTTACAGATTGGGAGTATACACTCAACCCACATGTCCTCGGTGTAACCTACATGAGGAAATGGAGAAGACCCACCTGATTCGATGTCCAGCCCTAAAGACAACGACGGAAAGCCAGAGATACTGGGAAGCAAGAACACGGCTAATGAACTGCTATTAATTAACTGCTATAAATGTACCCCCACCTTTGGGGGAAGCTGAAGTTAAAGTTTAAGGGCTAATGATAAATATCACAAAGCCTGTCATTTGAAATAAATAAATACAAATATTATCGATTACACAGCAATTTAAATGAACATTTTTATTCCTGGTTTCATAATTCCATCTTTGCTTGCAGATAAGCATTTAAGACTTCCTAAAGTTCTATATTAAGTTCGTAGGCCATAATCTCTAATTAGATTTGAGAATCCTCTCCCTGCCTTCCATTGTTACCCTAAAGATTAGATTATGCATATTGACAGTTGACGTCAAGTTCACTCAGCTAACAGCCGATAATTGATGGGTGATTGGTGCCTTTTAACGCAAATTGTGGATAATGGCTTAACCTTGGATCGGCTGTCACTTTTTATTCATAAAATCTTTATCCATTGTTCAATATCCCATCTGGTGATAAGAGATAATTGTCAGGTTTCTTCTATTGGGTGCTTGTCTATTGGGTTTCTTCTATTGATTGTTGATTCTTGTATCGAATTCTGTTCTCCCGGTAGGTTTGAATTCAAAATAATGCGGAAAACTATAGAAAAAAGACTAAACCACCGAAATGCTCATCAGTCATTTACAAATGCCTCTCAAAAGTCAATGAAGTCCATTGTAATGGAGCAGTTTATTCTGCTACGTATTATTTTGCCCTTACCACATTGTCTTGGGCAGATACCAGATCAAACTAATAGCGAATGTTATATTGGCATTTGCCTTAGCAACTTCATTTTGACGTTGGGAACTAAAATGAAAAATAAATTATCTACTAAGAGGAAGGTACTTCATGTTAGCCATCTATATAGTCAGTCAAGTGTAAAACACCTTCAAAGTTGAAATTATAGCAAAGGTATGACAATTGAAATTCTATTGAATTCTAAATAACATAAGTGTTTAAATTTTAAATTTAAACTCTCTCATTAATAAGTGATCCATTCATTAAAACGATAGTGGATAATTATTGATTAAAATTATTTGTTTTTTATTTTAATGTAATTCCCATTGGATTCATAGAAATTGAGCAATAAAATTACTTTATTTCCTCAATTTTATGACTGCAAGATATTGCGTACTTCATTGTACTCAGCTATATACAACTTCGTGATATCATGAGGCAATACTTTTGCACCTCCAAATTAAGCTGAAATTACATTGACGATAACATGAAGCGTTAAATATTTCATTGTGGCTTAAGTTGTTAATGGTGCTTCTGAAAGCGACTATAGTTTTACAATGGTTATTGATGATGGTGGTGATGATGATGCTTGTGGTGGTGGTGGTGGTGGGGCTGTTGTGGTTGGTGCCCACAACCTTGAGCAACATTCCATTTTTTCGAATGATTTCTCATTTTCCAAAATAATAATATGACTGGTGAATATGAAGTGAATTTCAACGTTTCGCTAATTGCGCATCTTATCAGCTCTTTGGACAATGTTACTCATCTTCGACGATCCCAAATTTGTTAATGTTTTATCGATTTAGATACCCATACACCCACACAACTAGAAAAAATCGTGCTTAGTCTGTATTTTGCATATTTGGTTCTGTGTTTTAAAACTATCCTGAAGAAGTGACTGCTTTTGAAGATATTTAATGCTTCAAATTAAGTATCTTGTCATGTGATTAGAGTTGAAATAAATGACAGTGTCTGTGATGAATCAATTACACTTTTGGGATATTATTTAAATGTGCTTCAAATGTGCATGAACGAATATTTAATTCAATTAATACCCTCATATATATCAAAAATTTTAAAATTTCTTTTCAAATACCTGATTTTGATATTATGAAAATATTTTAAGCAAAGAGAAATTAGGCGTTCTCTTCCCTTTCCAGTTGTCATAAAGCTTAATGCCTAAGTAACGTTTCATTTAAGTGTTCTATTTGTTACTGCGTTTCTTACAACATGTTCTTTGGAGACAGAAATGGAATCTACAGGAGAACAAAAGTGAATACCGTATCTTTAGGATCTGAAGTACAGAATGAGTGATTATATTCCTAATTCTAGACGTTTAAGTAAAACTCATTAAGTGACTTATATTTAACCTCACATTTGGAAATTGACGCTGCTAGAGTGTATTTGCAATGTTCAAATCTAATTTCATTCAAATACATTACCTTTGTTCCTGCATTTTTGGAATGCCGTTTAATCGATATACACGTTTCACTTACATGCATGGCCTCGTTCTCGTCGTTTTAGTCATTCTCTCTAAACAACGGTACTTCTTCAAGGAGACGGTTATTAGTTATGAAAATTGAACACCAATTTTAATTTAACTATTCCTGCTGTAAAATAACAGTCAATCTACATTTCTATGGGTAAATGTGTTCTTCATAACATCATTCTATATTATTACTTTCATCAAGTTGCTTGCCGTTTCACAGTAGCTAATCATCTCTTAGTAAGACGGACTGTACTTTACCATATTGTCATTACAATAAGTATTTGAATTTTTTGTTTTGTCTCACCTCTATGAATGAAACTGCGATATTGCTTATTAAGCATTTAGTACCTCCTCAAACTAAATTGTTTTATTTGCCTGCTAGATGGCACCTTTAAACTTCAATCTCTTTCTTTTATTAATAGATCATATGAATTTCAAATTCTCACTTCCGGTGTTTCGTGCGATTTACTGTAGAATTTTTCTTCAAGATTTGTACTGTTAACCAAGAATCTACTTATCAGATTTTGTTCTTCACTCAGTGGAATGGTCAAATAATAAATTTGAGCGAACGGGTTTTACCCTATTAAATACTCGGTGAAAGCTTTTCTTTATTATTATTCTTAAATACCTCAATTCTCATGATATTTCATTAAATGAGGGCAAATAAATTGTGCTGATCGCAAAGCTAACTTGGCTGAACTAAAGAATTCCTTGATCGCTCCCGAATTCTAGAACGCCCAGCATTGATGTCGTTCGCGTTAAGGAAAAATTGAAGTCCGAAGTGTGAAAACCTCTCAACCAATCAGTGTTATCGTAATCAAACAGAATTTTTTTGAATGGCTAGAATTTTTTTGAATAGCTATCATGCTTGTTTAACGATTCGTGCTGAGATGCGCTATGCTAGGAGAAAAGGGGAACCGCGGAAATTAGGAAGTTTATTTTAATCATAAATTTTGGCATTTTCCATCAACAACTCATAGCCAAAGTGAATAAGTAAAAGGCGTTATTCGAATAAAATGGAATTCGTTTCAGCAGTTTAATTGAGACAAATATGTGCAAAATATGCAGAGGAAATATATTCAAAAGTTATCAACTTGCTTCCTCATTTGTGGAGTCAGAAGAAGTACAATCAAAGTGCTATCACAATAACGCAGTAAAATCTAATAGGCCAAGTTGGTATCGTATATCATCACCAAATCCTTCATTTTGTTGCTCTGCATTAAATCTTATACTGTCAACTCCTGAATTTTTTATGAAGGGAACTTCAGATCTCCATCTAGACGAAAGTACTGTTACTTCACTCCACCGTCGTCTCAATCCTCTAAAGTATTTTCGTGGCTTCCTCTTCAGGTGTTCGTTATCTCCAACCTTTACCAACATTTCTCCAGATTCATCCATTGAAATGATTTCTTCTTCAAGAAATTTAACAGATCTATTGACATCGTTGAGGTTTTCATCATCATCTAGTTTAGAAAAAAATTATGACTTATTATTATCACCGTTAATTCGCTTCACTCATAAGAATAAATAAAAATAAACTAAATAATACCTAAATTTGGATTTAGCTTTAATGGATATCAGTACTACGAAGGAAAGTGTAGTTACAACTAATCTATTTAAGGCTAGCTCAAATTAAAAAAAGTCGAGAAAAAGCATTTTTAAGTGCTTACTTTTAACTTCAACCATTGTAATGCACAATTATCGCAGCTTGCAAACGAAATGTGAAGACTTTAGCTATGAGTTTGGGCTAATATTGTTCTCACCCCTGGTTCATTAAGAATGATAGGTTCAAATAGTGTAGTGGGTTGATTGAATTATCTCTTAGGGAAAGCACGTGAAATTCTATATGAGTAATAATTATACACGTGGTTCATAATCCGCATATGTTAAAATGCTAATAAATGGTTCATTGGAAAATTTATCAAATTTTTCTGATGAATTTAGACCTTTTAAGAAATAGCTTCTGCATTTTTACTTCATTCAACTCTTCCTGTAGAACCAATATTTCTATATATTAGTGCATTCAAAAAATTATAGATAAACTGACAAATATTCATTCATTTATTTATCTTAAACGGCAGGCGTTTTGATAGTTATCAATAGCCCTTTAGC